TAGGGGAATCCTCCACTCTGACCCCTGACATCAGTCTAGGATGCTCTCTTTCCAGCAATACCAGGTCATCACTGCATTGGCTGCATAGATAGTTAAAGAGCTCAGTTTACTGCATTGTCCTAGGTAGCCACAGACCACTACAAGAAGTTTCATCTTCGCTTGCGAGGTCTTGTTTTTGTTCCTGCTAGGTGTCTAGCTACCCTCCTCACCAGAAAGCCTGGTGAGGGAACTGGTTTAGTTGTTGATGACCTGACCATGTGGCAGGTTGTACTGGGTACTGTGACCTGACATAAATATATATACATACAAATATACATACATTCTAGCATATATATATATATATATCAAAATTATATATTATATACAAGGGTGCTGAAAAATTCTCAACTTGACCCACTTTCCAAAACCTAACCAAATAATGAAACATTTTTTGTGGGGAAGTGTTTCTTGGTCAGGTTGAGAACTTTTCACCATGTCCTAGTGTATTTGTACAGGGTATGCCAAGTATTGTAGAATGCACCATCAATAGGCCATAAATAGAAAACAACTTAATATAGTGACTCCACAGTAGAGTGGCTTTGCAATAGTAAGTTTCTTGAAAGTGCTTAAGTTGAACAGGAGAAATGACAGGTAGGTCTTGCACAGGCCCCAGAGTGATGCACACAAAGTTCATGTCATCTGTCACAGTCCTAAGAGATGCAAGTAACAATGACCATGTCATATTGACTTACTTTGACCTGAAAACCTCTGGCTCAAGGCCACTGATGTTCTGAACATAGTAGTCAAGAAGTACATGTTCCAGCAGAACTGCTTCCTTCCACATGGCCGGCCCATGTGACCCAGGAGTGATTAAATCAAATTTTGGTAGGGCTGAGAACTTTTCAGCACCTCATTGGTCAATTTATCTAAATTGAATACTGATTACCTCTGAGCATATTTTTCTTAGTTACCTACATTCTGTGAAGTTAATGTGCATTCTATTTACACCTAAGTCTTAACATTTTAAATTTTTTTCTATGAGCATGGAGGAAAAGAAAAAAGAAAAAAGAAAGCAAATTCAAAGCTATATAAATTGGCAACAAAATTGTATGAATCTAGTAACTGTTTAGAAAAGAAAAATAAATACAAACAAGACCAGTTGACAATTTACCTTTTAAGTCAATCTTTATATATAAAATGTAATGTGCATCCATATATTTTTCTATGCATAAAACAATAATATACTTCAACAGAGGTCCATTACAAAAGATGACTGAATTACTTATCTAAATCTGTTGTATGAAAATAACGCTTAACATTGACACTGTCCATAAACTTTTATTTAAAATTACATTTCATATTTATATATATATATATATATATATATATATATATATATATATATATATATATATATATATATGTATGTATTCTAGAATCTATTTGGCCAAAAGGCCTACTAATATGTGAAAAACATGAAGAAACATTGAACAAATTGTTGCTTACATTATTTACATTTGGACTAATATCTTCATCTTTGTTGTTGTTCTCACAACATTTTGTCCATTCTGCTCTCCTGCCTTCTTCAGGTGAATTCAGAGTAATTTTGAGTAATCACTGGCCCGGATAGACTCAGTGAAATCAAAGTAAGCAATGACTGAGCAGTACTAAAAAAAAAAAAAAAAAAAAAAAAAGAGATAAACCTAGACATCGACAGCAGAACAAGAACAGTCTAACCCATAGATTAAATAAAGGGTTCAGTTTAAAATTTCATGAAGGTTACCTGGATTGACAGACACTTGAAGTAGGCTGGGGGGCATAGTGGCCAAAATGTTGTGCTAACAAAAATATGAGGACATTAATCCAAATGTAAATAATGATATCTCATTCCAGAAATTCAGAGGGAATAGATTGTTATTTATATACAGTGATTATTAAATCAACTAAATGGATCAGAGAATGTAGCCTCCAATGAGACTAGAGCCTTCATCTGGCACAGAGTAAAATCACATAAAGAAGAATATAGCAAAATGATTACATTTGAGATTATGCCTTCTAATGGGCCTTCATAGTCTTATCAATAAGCACTCTCAAAGATACAGGACATGAGTTCAAATCTTTTCAGAGGCTATTTCTTTATTTTACAATATTTACTGTTTGCTTAATGGCTGTAAAAAGTAAAGTAATACAAGCATTATGCTAAAAAGCAACAAAATTAAGATCATGAAGTGGAACAACTATATTGAATCCATTGCTAAGTCTGCTGCCAAGAAAGGTGGCTCACTGTGTTGTGCCAGACAATTTTTCTCTCCTGAATCTACCTTACATATCTATAAGTCTACCATTTGTCCATACCTCGAAAATTGTTGCCCCATATGGTCTGTTGCACCTGCTTTATATTTAGAGATTCTTGATAAAATCCAAAGATGAATTGGCAATATGATTTGTCCTGATCTGGTAACTCAGCTTCAATCACTTTCCCACTGCTGTAAAACTGCTTCCCTGTGCCTTTTCTATAAATACTTTTATGTTAAATGTTCAAATGAGCTCTTTGCTGTGGTACCCAGACTTTATGCATAGTACTAGATAAGCAACAAGTCCCATTGGTTTACAGTTGAGTTGGCTAGATGTAACTAAGTTCTATGCTAACACTTTCATTTCTTGTACTTCTTGCTTATGGAACTCTCTTCTGGCTTCTTGTTTTCCAGACATGTTTGATTTTCAAAAATTTAAAAGCAATGTCTATTGTTATCTACTGTCTTCCTGATTACTCTTCTATTGTTCTCACTTCTCAATAATGCTTCTGTTTTCTAATTCTCTCACATACAGTAACCCCTTGTGTCTTAGTGGTTTTACTGCCTTACATGGGATGAATCTGATTGTAAAAAGAAAAAAATAGTAAAAAAATTAATGACAATTTTTCAAAGAAATTCAGACAAAATCCTAATTTAGTGTTGAACTGAATTAAGCCTGCATGACTGAGTATTTTCGTAGCAGGAAAAAAATATCTAATAAACAGGCTTCTATATTTCTAGAAGATTCTTTTTGAATCTTCTACTTACGCACTCACATTATAACACACATTTAGTTGGTAATTTTGAAAAATCCTGAGAGCAATTAAAGATACAAATATTTTTTTCCAGATATTTTTTTTTTGTTTGATTCTGATGCTCAGGTTCAATCTGATGCTAAAATACAGTTTTGCTGAAATTCAGACAGTTTAAATTACAATATAAATATATTAACAATCTAGACATCTATTTCTTAAAAATCTCAACCCAATATAGATTTTAATCCTTTTTTTAAAGGATCAATAAACCTTGAACTTTAAAATGAAATTACCTTAAGTGATGATCAGTTAAATGGTAAAACAAGGCACTGAAACTGGATGGTAAAAATGTAAAACTGTTTTAAGAAATTGCTATATAAAGGAAAAAATATTATTAAAAAAGTAAGAGATGAAGGTTTTCAATCATGCAAGTTAATTACTGATCTAACTAGCTATTTTTTGTAAATATAATATTGACAAATGTTTTATACAACCTATCATGAATTAGAAAAACCCAAATAAATAAAAATCGTTTTAACGAAAATGTGAGATTTATAACAAATTGTATTTACAAATTTTACATACTTGACATTTCTCCATGTTTTTTCTAAAGAAAGCACAAGCATGGGACAAAAATGTCCGATCAGCTTGATGATTGATTTACAATAGGGAAAATCTTTCATTTAAAAAAAACAATTAATAAAAAAAAAAAAAAAACTTTTACAACGTGAAATTTCATAGAATAATTCCTGATATCAGATATACAATGTCATATCCCTATTTTCCCCATTCTGTATTAAAATTTCCGTTGTGGAATCAGTGTATCATTTTTCGACCGATGATTGATTGATTAACACTTTTGGTGGAAATTTAATTTTTACATGTTACCATTTAAAAAATTAATGTTCAGAAACTAAAACAAATGTCATTAAAATTTGGATTGGATGTTATTAAAAAGACGATAAGGGTGTTTCTGAAGTGAAGTATGACTTGGCCATTATGATTTAAAGTATAATAAAAGTAAAACTTCTCAAATGTCTTAAATGCCTTGTCATTTTTTTTAATGAGATTTTTTTCGTCTAATCTTGCTTTTTATCGTTTTATTTTTCTCCCATTCTACAGCTGTTAATCAACATGGCTTGGAAATCCGAATCCCGTATTTTTGATCGAGAACCTGTCTGACATGAACAGCGTCTTACCAATTAGGCTACAACAAACACCGCAAATGACATTCAAATATAGCAATATTCATCTTCAGCAGATTTTAATCGGCGCCAAAAACGAGAAGGATAGGAGTTCAAATGGAGGGAGGAATACATCTTTGATTTTAAATCTATAGTGCTTTTATAGTCGTAAGTAAAGAACTGACAAAAATGCCACACTAGAACGAGAGAAAATTTAGTAAAAAACAAAAAATACAAAACATTGATAATAAAGATAAGGTTAAACAACAGTAATAATAAACAAATGTTTGGAAGAATTAGTTTGAGTGTAGTGTAGTAGTGTGACATGTGAGCATCCGTTTTTAAACAAGCATTTTTTGTATATCCAGTTTGTTTTATAATTCTTAGAATTAATTACTTGAGCGGCATATGTTATATATAAAGACATTGAATTTTAACCTTACTTTCATCAAAAGCTAACACATTAATTGAATTAGTGAATGAAACATTTTATAACAAATTTAAATTCTCAAGGGAATGAATAATGAAGAAAAGGATAAAAAAACAAACCACTGTAGTCTGCTCGAAATATCTTTTTTTGTTTGTTTTTTCTTCATATTCTCTTAAAAAAAGACAAGAAAACAGATTATCTCAAAGAATCATATTTTAAATCGTATTTATTTCCTTACCTTTTAAAATCACTGCAAGAAGTGGGTGAAAAGTGCGTGCTGTAATTCGGTTGTGAAATTAATTTTCTTTCGTCTCGCAAGTGCTCCTGAATTTGATCTGCTTTGCGGAGTCCGGATTTCTCAGCCGTGCGTGGCTGTTGATTCTGTTAATTAGATTCAACCGAGAGATCAGTAAAATGTTATTTTTAAAAACCATCAAAAAATCTTTAAAAAATATATAATAAAAAAATAATTACTAAATGTTATACACGACTACTGGATAACAAAGAAGAAAAGGAACAAAGGAAGTCGACAACCGGTGTAAGGGAAAAATCAATTCCGTGTGTAAAATAATGTGCGTAATAACATTAAAAAAACACTTTTAAAAAGAAAACATTGTTAATCACAGTGTAACATGATCCAGTTATGTTTTGGTTCACATTTAATGGAAAAATAGCCAAAAACTAAATACTGTAGCAAAAGGTTCACTGTCAGACGTTCAAGCAGTTTTTTTTTTATGAAATGGGATCTCCAGAGGCGAGGCGATAACCTATGAATCCCGGAGGCCTGGAGAGATGATTACATTTTTTAAACCTTGAGGTTTGATTGCAGTTTGATAATTTATTTTATGCTATCTGGGATTCTTTTGTGATATATTCTTGTGATATTAAGTGATAATAAAGCTTAAAACGCCAGATCGATATGTGAATTTGATCAGCTACACTTCAGACAGAGAACAATGAGTAATGAATGACAAATGTTTGGGGGTCAATGAATAGCTTTTGGCGCGCAAATACAAATAAAATTAAAAAGAAGTTTTTCTCAGCGAGCAAGTACCCTTCCTCCTGTAACTTTCGACTCTGCTCCAATTGAAAAAGAGATTAGAAAACTGTTGTCTACGAAAAATGATTGGTGGCAGGCGAAGCATAAGGATGCTTACTGCTTGGATTGAACTAAAAAGTGTTTTTTTTAAAACTTTGTTCTTAGCGCAAGTTTTACTAAGAAGCAGAAAAATACCTGAGATTTAGAGAAGACCAACATTTTTAAAAGTGAAGCCAATAGACGCGCACACATACATAAACTTATACATTTGAAGAATGAAGATTAAATAAATGTAGATGAAACTTACGGCATATCTGCTATTTTAATTAGTTGATATTTTTAATTTAGAATATTTCTTTTGTTATGTGATGCTGGAAGAGCAATGAATTAATTCAATTATTTTAAAAACGAGAAATTGAGATTATGAAAATAAGCTTAATGATTAAAGAACTTATAAAGAATATAAATATTAAATTAATTTATTACTTTTTAGAAATAACTAAGCACAACTATTATTCTTATTCCTGTTGGAGTAAAGCACTATAGATGATTAAGAAGAATACTGATTAACATTAAGAAAATCCATTATTATCTGAAATATAGAGGACTTTGTTAGTGTGTTCTATTCACATACTTAGAAAACTCTTAATGTACTCAATAATCATTGGAAAAATCATTTACCTTAGGTATCACGTGAAAGATCTTATATATATATATATATATATATATATATATATATATATAGTTGTATATGTAGGCAGCAATCCTTCGTTTATGCACCTTTCATTAAAAACGACAGACAAGATACTACGGTTAAGCTTTTTATTTTTTATTTTTTGTGTTCAAAGAAGAGCTTTCTTTTCTAGACAAAGAGTGTGTAAAAACTGTCCAAATGTTTTATATTTCCGAGCGCTTTCGGCTATACCTTTAGCTATTATCAAGGATGATTCGATTTTTCAGCTTAATTGAGTGTGTGCATTATGTGTATGTCTTAGTGTGTAGTAGGGATGTTTTAATTTCCGAATACGGTTAGCACATTGTGGCCTTGTTCGTAGTTAATATTGTTAAGAGTTGCTTTTTTTCTTTTTTATTATTATTAAAGCTTCCATTATTTTTAATCTTTTTTTTACAGGTGGATGCACTTCTAATGGAGCTGTGATCAGATAGGTGTAACGTAAGACGTCTTGATAAGCATGTAGCTGTGTAACCGATGTAATTATTTATGAGTCCGGTTTGATCAGGAACACAGTTAAGGGGCATTTGAACTCATAGATAATGTTCGATCTTTGTAATTTTGACTTAGCTGGTGTGTTGTTATTTTTGAGGATAAGGTTAGCTGTCTTAAATTTTTTATAATAGATAATTTGATTTTTTTTATTCGGGTCAATTGGGGTAGTGTATTTCTTTATAATATGTCTTAGAGAAGATTCGTCTTGTTTGTAATTAATGTGTATGTAATTTTTGCCTGTGTGTTCACTATCGTTATTGCTTACTTTGGGGAGAAATAGCCTAATTTGGTGGTCTATAAGGTGGTTAGGGAAGCCGTTGTTGATTAGTGTTTGTTTAACATTATTAAGTTCTTTGAGGAAGAGTAGTCGAGAGGATGAATTCTGGTGTGCTCTTTTCAGAAAGTTTTTATTACTGCTATTTTGTACCTAAGTGGACATTCGCTTTTAAAGTTAAGATGGCACGAGTTTTTGCTAGTGGGTTTTTTATATAATGATGTAATGAAAGTGGTATTTGCTGTATTCTACGAGGACATCTAAGAACAGAAGTTTGTTTTTTGACTAAGTTCATAGGTAAAGTTAAGGACAGAGTTTTTCTCAAATGTGGTCTTAAGTGTTTCTTTAATGTTATTTGCTAAAATAAAAATATCATCTATGTAGCGAACATATATTTTCAGTTTACGGTCCTGTGTAAATATTGTATTTTCTACGTGGGACATGTAACAGTTGGAAAAGCATGGACCGAGTGGATTTCCTAACAGGATTAGTTTTGGTGTAAATGTCGCCATTATGGTCATAGAATGAAACTTTGATTGTGCATGCGTGTAGTAATTATTTTAGTGTGGATGTTTTGATGGATGGCGGAGGGATAGAATTATTAGTAAACAGAATTGAGGATAATGTCAATATTTTTGGTCGACGGGGACGTTTGTAAATAAGTTTACAAGTTTGTAATAAGTTATATATATATATATGTGTGTGTGAAAGATTTCTTTCATATATATATATATATATATATATATATATATATATATATATATATGTGTGTGTGTGTGTGTGGTGATGTAGTAATTGGTGGTATTACTAATTATTGTTTATGTTGTTTTTTAGTTGAATTTTGTATAAAACTCAAGAATAATGATAGTTATTTATCTTAAAGTCATCTATATTTTTAGATTATAACCTATTGAAGAGGTGAAATTTTTCTTTTTGAAAATCGGTAATGATAAAAATAATTTTTATAATAGCAATATTATGGTTTTGATCAATTAAGAGATCCACAATAAATTCAGATATTTCATTTACACTCAGGTTATTGTTCTCACTTCTGCTGATATTATCATAAATGTTTTGGTCATTGTACCGTCCAGACTTCAGCTGCTTGTCGATCTGGGTAACCTTCAATAAATTTCCAACTGAACTCTTTATTTAATTTAAGGTGGTGGATGGTCCGTATCCAATGATAGTACTCAGCCTAAGTCTGTACTATCTGGCCCAGAGATTGAACTCACAATTACTACATAACCAAATTCATAAACCCACACTTTAATCCACTAGTATTTCCCAAAAGAGGAAAATTATTATTTATGGGTTACGATTTTTACCCATTTAGGAATTTACATACATAAGATAAAAAACATGAAATTTTGAAATTCTTTAGATAAAGTATATTTACTTTTATTTTGTTATCAGTTTTATTCCATTTTATTATTTCTGCTTTTTATCACAGCCTTTAATATTATAAACGTATTGCAAATGATTCACTTTAAAGTTATTCATTTTTAAGAACTTCGCTAAAAAAAGCTATTTTGAAAAAAAAAGGACATTTCACATTCTGTACCTTCCTGTTAAATTAACTGATAGATTTTGCAATCTCTTTTAAGAATATCCTTAATGGGGTCTTTGCTTGACTTATCTGTATTTTTGAGTATCAATAAATTTGTTTCACATGAAAAAATCTGATTTATTTTGAATTTTTCATTATTTTGACTTGATGTATTTAAAATTAGAATAATCTAGTGGAATCCTTATTTTAATGTGCTTCGTTTGGTTTCTTTATTCAGTTAAAAGGTTTGTCGACCATTTGAAATATTCTTTTTAGGGTCCATATCATCTAAATTGTTTGGAAAAAAGGTAAAATGAAGCTCAAGCTATTTTATTTGTATCGGAAATTATAGGCAGTACCAACTTTTCGCTTCATATTTTTGTTATCCGATTTATAAAGTGGCAAATCGATAAAACCATGATTTTGGTATGACAAGCTGTTCTAGAAAATATATTAAAATTAGATAGAAGTTTGTCCACAAAACAAAACTGTCACGTGATCTTCAGACATGTAAGAATATGTGGTAAAAGTATGAAAATTTTCATGAACTAACTGGTTTGCTGGTGTCTTGAAAATAGACAATTTTAAAGATGTTGAAAAAAAAATATCGAGCAATTTTCAAACAGTAATAATGACATTTCTATACTAAGAATGGATACATTTACTGCAAAGAAATAATCTATTAGATCATAAATGACAGGAAAACTAACTTGGATGCTGTATCTGACATACTTGCATTGATCTATCCACTACCCTTCTCCTCATCCTTTCTTCTATCACTCCTGTCTGATCTTGCTCCAAATTTTCTGTAACCCCTTGCGTCCTAGTGGCTTCTCGCCTTGCTTGGGGTGAAACGCTTAAAAACAAAAAACAAAAAAAAAACAACTTTGTAAATGAGAAGCTCTCAAAAAATTGGACAGCATCTTTTTGCATTGTGGCCATTTTCACTTGCCTATAAAAATAAAAGTACATACTATGCAACTGAGCTGTTCATATTTTTCTAATCTACAGTAATCATTAACTATACTTGCCAAGTTTCAAATCTGCATATGCAGTATCGTTGGAGCTATGAATTGAATGCCTTATTTAGCAAAATGCAAAAAATGCAGTGAAATTTAAAGATGTCCTAATTTTAAAACTATTAATAATACAGATCTAATATTTGAGATTTATCAATAAGTTTGATCAAGGAAAACCTGTGAATTTTTAAAGATTTTTTTTCTGAAAGAGTCACCTGTGGTTGATTTGAGATGGAATGATTCAACAGCATAACTGTGGCAAAAGCTGTATGAAGTTGTCATTGAATAAACATTAGTTGCAGTATATATTAATTGATGCTAAATTTGCCAGAATTATATTTTATACATAATTAAGGAAACCTTACAAGTGTCTGAAGATTACTCAGCCCTTTTTTATCTTGTGTAATCAGTTAACTAATATGTTACTTTCATAAACTCTTTGCCTTGAGTGGCTCTTAGGCCTTGAATTGGGTAAACAATTAATAAAAAAAGAGAATAATGAAATGGGGATACCGATTAAATAACACAGAACTTGAATCTTTGTTACTTAACATTTTATTCAGTTCAATATTTCACTAGTGACTATCGATCAGTTTATGGTATATGACTCCAGTAGAGCTCTTAACCTGGGGCAGTTATTTATATATTAATTTATTATTTTTGTTGCCACGCTTCCAATACTGGATGCTAATGTGGAATCATGTACTTCTACATTTGGTTAGGAGTAACATCAGGTCAACTCGGCACGTGTCTTCCTTTGATGGTTTGGTGTGAAATTAGAGTTCATTTGGGGGTGTTTAATGCATCGGACTTGAAAACATTAATATAAAATTACAAAAGATATACTGTAAAAAGATAAAGAAAAAAGTATTCAATACTCATTCATAATAAGATTAAATTAATATCACTGTAGAATTTATAGGTGTTTGTTCTAAAGCAACTGGAAGTTATTCTCCAATATTTTAAACACTAGTTAACATTCTTGAGAAAAGTGTACAATGTATAAGTTGATTGTTAACCATCGTCGCAGTAGTAACTGTAATGCCGGAACCTCAGCAAAATATTCTGCAGACAACAGACATGTCATAGTTAATCTACAGGGTGGGCCAAAAGTAGGCTTATATTTAGTAGGAATGCACTTTACATTTTTTAAAAACATTTTATTACATTTATATTTATTTGTTACAATTTTATATGTTCAAAACTGTTTCTGTACATTTGTTAAACACTTTACTTACATTTTTTAGCACAGTTTAATCTCTTATATGTTCAAAATGTCCTCCTTCAATATTACAACATTCCACGAACCTCTCCAGAACGCTCTGACATACGACACGACACAAATCCCGACTTTTGAGATGTTCTTTTAATTCGTTCACTCTATGGGGATTACTCTCAAACCTTGTTCTTTACTAAACCCCCCCCCCCACAAAAAATGAAATCCATTGGTGTTAGGTCAGATGAACGTGGTGGTCATTCGATGCTGCCCCTTCTTCCAAACCAACGCCGTGGAAAGGTTTGTTTAAGGTAGTCACTTACTGCCAAAATGGGGAGGTGCTCTATCTTGCTGAAAGAACATTTTGGCGAAGTTAGCTCTGGTTCTGAGCTGTAATCTACAGTAAAACCTGAAAGAAATAGTGAAACAACTGTAAGCCTACTTTTGGCCCACCATGTATTGTAAAAGTAAAGATTACGGTGCCTTCAGGAAAGTGATGTAACTTTATCCAAGCGTCATTAGTTCGATAGCTCGCAAGTGGAAGAAACGTTGTCCGATAGAGAGATCTCCTAGATCTGATGCCCCTCGAAAGATTTTAGCCGTTCTGCAAGCAGGAATTACAAGAAGATAAAGTAGCAGCCAAGTATAGTACGCAAAGAATTGATAAAAGATTTTCGATTATCGAGGACAAGAGTTAAAACACAAACAACGTATTCTGTCATCATGGTTTACAATCTTGTAAAGCAAGAAAAATAATGCTTCTGAAAAAAAAAAATAATAATAATTAAACGCAGAGGCGTGTCTTAAGTTTACCGTGGATGATTAAAGCCAAACACAAACCAATGAAACCAAGATAGATTTATTTCATCTTAGTTCACATTGTCAAGTTCGGAGGAAGAAGAACGAAGAATTTAACTGAGAAAACACCGTCTCAATTGTGAAAGATGGAGGTGGTACTGTCATGATTTGGTACAGTTTTTCATCACATAATCAAAGGAAGAATAAAGGGAGCCGTGTACCGAGATATCTTGAGCAAGACACTCCGTACATCAGCCATTGTTTTAAAAGTGAAACGATCTTAGATATCCGACCAACATCCCTAGACATATTACTAACACAGCCATACAGTAGTTTGACAAAAAGAAAATCAGTTGTCTAGCAGTCCTCAAGATAAATTAATTGAAGCAGACGTTAAACATAAGAGTATCTATGCGCATCATTCTAGTAATGTAAAAGAAAAGTTCTGATGAGCTTTGCTCGTTGGTACCTAGATGAACTTTATGAATTTAAGCGCAGTACTAGATTGGCGGCAAGGTCTCATCATCTTATTTGTAAATTCTATGCTAACAGTTTCTTCTTTTGCACTTCTCGCTTGTGGAATTCTTTCGGTTTCTTACTTTCCAGTTAACACTGATTTTCAAAAATGTAAATGCAATGTCAATCGTTATCTTTTGTCTTAATTCTTGTTCTTTTATTGTTCCCTCTCTTCAATAATATTTTTTTTCTTATACTCTCTCACACCCAGTAACCACTTTCGTCTTAATAGCTTTATTGCCTTGCTTAGGGTGAAATGATTAAAAAAGGTCTGCCACGAAAAGTGTTCCAAAATATTAAAAAATAAAAAGGTAAAAATAGAAGAGTGCATGAAGCTAATCGCTATTTTTAGGAAGAGTCTGAAGATTGTTATTGCGAACAAAGTCGATTCCACAAAATACTTACCTCTGCTCTGAGTTGGATATTAAATACATATTTGCTTCCTCCTTTTTAAAAATATCTCTTCCATAATTTTATATAAATATATACGTTGAAAATTTTGCTCATGTACTATGTTAACGATGAAAACAATATACTGTGACATTTTGACATCAATATTTACCTTGTTTGTGTGACACGTTTCAATATTTATACAAAAATTTAACGACAGTCAATTATATCATTGCAATGGATTCTTCTGATTACGTAGTGGAAAAAGAATTTTCTGTTATTTTAGACTTGACAAAACACCACAGTTCATGTCTTGATTTTTTCTGCCAGAATGTTTAGTTTGCAGATAAATCGCTAATAATTTTGCAGTTGTGTTGCACTCAAAGAATATCAAAATCTTAACTGTTGCCGCCATTTTTGACAGTATGAGTAAACTACTACTACAAATAATAATAATAATAATAATAATAATAACTAGAAATACCCGCAAACATTTCATATTAAATTTTCTGGGGAATCTTAATTCTAAAGTTAATGACTGAATAAGCTTCTTGCAAGTTCCACGACTATAAAATAGCCATGGAAATTCCCCTATTGCATCGTTAAATATGAGCTTAACAACTTTAACAAAATATAGCAATAACAATCATAAATATGAATGCAAATTATTATTTAAAGAAGGGTACAAATGAAAAAATGTGAAAGTTACAAGTTTTTCCATTTCCCTCAAGCAGACGTTAAACACATGAGAGCGTTTTTTCTTTCACTGTAACCAAACAGCATCTGATATACATTTCTGTATTTCCTTCCGATTCCAAACGGAATAGTCCATTATTTATGTGATATTAGCAGGGCGTAATGTACTTGCTGACTGACTAAGGAACAAGCAGAATTATAATATGGTAATAATAAAATACAGAAAGAAAGAGCCAAGTAGGTGTTATACAACAAACGAAACAGAGGAACAAACTATTGAGAGAAATATCGTGGAGGAGAGAGAGAGAGCAAATTCTGAAGGAATGGAATGAAATTATCTCAAAATTAGTATTTTGATTTGTTTAAAGAAAGAAAAACATATCCTCCAAAAATTCTAAAAATGCACACACACACACTTTTTAATTTTTGGCTTAATTTAAAAAACGAAGAGTAAAAGGAAAAACGTTTTGGGCAGAAAAAAATGTCACTCAGTGTTGATGCTGATAAGAGGAAATATTTTTAACAGTTTTTCTTTTTTTTTCTTTCCTTTTATTTATATTGCAGACAAAGGCGTCTCTTGTATAGACACTAAATCCGTATCGTGACTGACTGAGAGCCAAAGAGATAAACTTTGGATTCGGACCATAAATGAGACAATCAAAGGCATATCAATATCCGGATCAAAACTGTGGTGAACACTGTCAAGGCATTTCTTTCCAACTTTCGTTCAGATAATTTATATAATGTAGGCCGTTGTAGTTTTCACAACTACGAATTTAGACACGAAAGGAAAAAAAAACAAAACAAAACAAAAAAAAAAAAACAGTAAACTGTTTTACAGACTTTTTCAGTCGGAGTTCACAACGTACGAACACCAAAAATTTTATAAAGTAATATACTCACCAATGAAAGTGAAGTTATCAGACTGATTTCGAGAAGATACAAAGCCTCAGATTAGAAACCGATTTTTAACCAGTAAAGTTGTATAGAAAAGAACCGTTTCAATAGCGAACGTTTCATTATTCGAAGGTTAGAAATTACAAAAGTAGTTTTTACAAACAAATAGAATCAAAACAGAAAATTCCAATAGCTTGGAAAAATTAGTGAAAAATGTTTCTCTTCAATCGGAAGCGCTACTCTGGACAGCTTTTCCAAACCATGTGCGGAGCGTATCTCAGCCCTTAAATACAGCTTTTCCAGTTAACTTTATTTGTTCTGACAATACTCCCTGAGATAACTAGATTTTTTCAGATTTAAACCGTCAATACTCACCACACTTTGATAAAACTCCCAACACATAATAATTCGGCGATTCCCTATCGACTCATCATCTTGATAAATTTTCTTAGTGTATAGTGGACACATCGGAACCTAGACAAACTAAATTCGATCAAAAAACAAGTCACTGCTCTTCACGCACAGCATATGTTTGAAATATAAATAAAATTATGATTTAATTGGTAATATATTTCAGTCACAATTTTCCCCTCCAAAAATGCGAGATAAGGAAAGTATTGCAGCGTTTTTTTTTTGTTTTTTTTTTTATTAGAACTAATCTTCATCCTCCTCTCACTTTACACAAGTCAGCTACAGTGAATTCTATTTGGAACTGTTATGAACGTTTTTTCAATTCTGCCCAATGTACTTAAAATTAATATTAGAAAAGATGGAGCTGTGAAAATTACAGCGGTGTGGTCAACTAATATTATGCATTATCTCATGCATCTGCTCTTAATCCTGGCATATATATATATATATAATCGTTTCATCACTTAAATTCATGTAGTTGGGTGAAAAAAAAGAAGCTCATTCGTGTTACCATAAAAATATTTGTTGAACAGGCAGAGAGAAGCCACGTCACGTCGGTGAGAAAGAGATTGGAGACGAAATGCCTAGTCAGGACCGATAGTATTGCAGACCCTTCTCTAGATTTTGTCAAGAATCTCGAGATACCTAATAGGAATATCAGACTAGATATAGCAACAATATTCAATACACGGGCGAATGGTGGATTTATAAATTTACAAGATGGATCCTGACGAGAAAAATATTTTGGCATGACACTGAAATAATTATCCTTGCCGCGGGTGTAGCAATTGACTCGAAATAGCGCTCCAATTCATCCTGATGGTAGGCAGAAAAAGGTTCTCTGTGGTGATTAAAAGAAAGCAGTTTTGTTTTGGAGGCTTTGAAATTTACAAGCCATTTCTTACCCCAGTTAACCATTATATTTGTAATATTATTCTCTCTCGTATACATTTTAATCTTGATAGTCCGTCTATGAATTTTTTTTAAATGTAATAAATAAACATTAGTTTCAAATGCTAAAAAGAAATAACGAACGCACAAATATTTTCTACTGCATCTGAAAAAAAATACTTTCTTTTGTTTTATCTTTCCATAAAGGCTTTTAATGTATCGAAATTTTGATGTCTTTCAACACGAATCTGCCTTTCACATCTTGCTCCTTGATATTAAGACAACAAATCTGTCTATGGCCTTTTTCCTATCTTCGGTCATCCTCATTTCTCTCTGTATATAATAAAATAATATTAATAAAATATATTATATAATAATAAAAATGAAAAATCTTTCTTGAAGTTTTTATTTCAAGCTAATAATAATAATATATAAGAAGATTTTTCATTTTTAAAAAATTCATTTTAAACCTTAATTAACGCGTTTCTTTGAAGGTTCCTATATTATCATGTAGTTCTCTAGAACAGAATGACCGGGTATCAGGTGGATACTAGTCTAATTCTAGCGAGAAAAGTCCAACGGTCTTACATACAAACTGATAGAATCGGCGAGGTTTAATCTTCGTACCTGCAAAAAAACAGAAAACGCTGTGTCAAATCCCACCCACAAAAACGCTTATTCTCTTGACACGTTACGGTTACTCCCTCGGTAATGTTTATCGACAACATTATAAAAAATAATGTGAACCAAATACAATGCGGTTATTATTATTTATCATTTTATAAAGAAATAAATTTGAAAAGAAATCTATTCATTCAAAAATTTATAAAAATTACAAAATTATCAAAAGTTGTAAACCAACTATAAAGTATTATTAGCGGTGAAAATTACAGACATTCTGTAATTATACACCCAATGAATAGGAAGAAATGCATTCAAAATATTGAATGTTAGTGGTCTCGCCTAAAATGTAAAATTAAAAGAATGTTTGGTTCAGAGGAAAAGATGCTGTCAATCTATTATAGTGAATGTCTATGGCGAGAGCAAGTGAAAGAAATGCCCGGTAAATGCAATTTTCTTATTCATGTATTTTTATAAATTTATGAATGAAAAATTATTTTCATATTTATTTCTTTATATAATGGTAAATAATAAATATTTCATTATAGCTGGTTCATACATTATCATAAACTTGTAAACAAAAAAAATTTCTTGCAAATAAGCAATCTAATAGTGTTTAATTATTAAACACTGTTTATTAGATATTAAACATTAATATCTTTGCTATCATTCTTAAGAACAAAGAAAATGTATAAATCCACTTTCATTTGTTTGGGTTTTATTAAAATTCTAGTCATCACTTCAAACATTGCCGCGGGAGTCAATAGTTTATAAACTTTATATAGTAATAGCAATGTCAAAAACTGCCCTTTTGACACACCGCACTTTTTATTTTGGCGGACACGAAGGTTAAACTTTGCCACATAATCATAGCTATCTCATTTTTATTATTTTGGGGTACATTTGTCTTTCTTCCTGGAAGAATTAAAATTTCGTGGAAGAACTGAGACTGTCCAGACCAAGGTTCACCAAACCCTTTCCAGGGAGAGAATGACGAGCATTTTATTTAATATAGACTGAATACACAAAAAATAAAGACAACAATTATTTACCAAAAAGTTATCAAAGAATGCGAAATCTTATTATAAAACGCAGATTGTGTGTGCGTGTGTGTCTGTACGTTTATATATTGGATCGGATTTCCTACATTTTTCAACCGATTTCAACAAAACTTCACAGGACAACGTAAAATTACTTTGCAGTGGTTCTGACAGCGCCAAAAATTGGAAAAACACAATTGTTTTTGCACGAAATCAATTTGAAAACACGATTAAGAGGCATCACGAGAATGAAAGGGGGACAACTCATATCGAGTTATACTTATTATAAAACCCAGGTTGTTTGTGTGTGTGTGTGTGTTCGTTTATATGTGGGATCGGATTTCCTACATTTTTCAACCGATTTCAACAAAACTTCACTTTTGTTTTTGGCAGGTAGTGTTTCTTATTGTCTTGCACACTTTTTTCTTTATTTTTACATTCAGAATGCTTTAAAAATTCCATTTACAAGACAATTGTTTATAATAAAGTTCTATTCAATCGATAGACTCATAACTATTGAAAACAATGTTTTTGTTTGAGTTTGGGTTTGACCAATTCGTAAAAAAAAAAAAAAAAAAAAAAAAAATTAAGACATGCGTGTCCGTCAACCTTAAACAATTGTCAATTTTATTTTTCAGTTTTTATGATGGTCGATACTTGATCTATCTCTTACTGTTACATCCCCGGGCAACGCCGGGTTCTACTGCTAGTTAGCAATAAGATAGTTATATCACGCCCAGTCTGCAAATATCCGAATTTCACAAACTAAGCAGGAAAAAGGGTAATGAGATTTGTGAAACTATCGTTTACCATTTAAGATATAATCAATATTTGCTTTGGAATTGCTGCATCCAATTGCTTCCAAATATTCATCAGTCAACCTCGTTCAATGTACTAACTTTACATACTTCATTTTTGAAAGTGTATTTGCTCACAAACATAAGTTGTTCGAAATACTGATGCAAATTTCTTCAACTTTAAAAACTCATCATGAGGTAAGCAGCGATAAAACTCAAGTTTTCCTTCTCTGTGCGTCTCTTTTTCGACAAGTCACTTGCTTGCAAATCAGTTTTAATTCCAACTGTAGTTCAACTGGCAAGTCATCAAGGTTACTATTAAACGGATTCTGGAACAGAAGAATGTGACTCAGTTCTCTGAAAATCTCTCTCTCAAAAAAAAAAAAAAAAAATGAAAAAAAAAAAAATGTTTGTTTAAGTCATGAATAATCTTCTTCGGAAACTCGATGTTGACATTTTTGCGCCATTCCAGTGCAAAACTATTTGAAAAACATTAAAAATGAGAGAAATTTCTTCCTTCCCGTCGTGCTTTAAACAACGATAGCTTTCTCCGAATTTTTTTCTACATAGTAAGTTTAACTGCAATCTATTTATAATTCCATATAATTAATTATATTTTAGCTCATTTGTGGCACAGTGCGGTGGCGGGCCGGATGAACTGACATCGTGGGCCGGATCCGGTCAAGTCCACCGAAAGAAGGCCTACTCGATTGTCACTTGACGTCACAAAGATGGTTCATGAGGTTAGCGAGACAGGCAGTAGTAATCATAATGCAATGTAGATAACGAATGATTGTAAACTAGAAAACTTTTTAAAATTACATTTAAAAAAAAGAAAGAAACGTGGTCGGATTTTATACTGAAAGTTATTTAATAATAATATTCATTTAAAAAAAAAAAATTATAAAAATAATGTTGTTGATGAATGTTGCATTAAAGTAAATGAACTTAATATCATGTTACATTTCATCAAATTTTAAAGTCTGAAATTCGTTCATTGTTTCAAATTTTAAAACATTTTTTATTATAATCAGCATGGTATTAACTCGCATGCTTTTTTATTTTAATTGTAATAATTGTTATGTAAAGTTACAATCAGCAACAACTGAATTATTAATTAGGGAATAAACAAACAAAAATTAAATATAAACAGACAAATTACAAATAAATTATATATATATATATATATATATATATATATATATATATAATGAAATAAATAAATTACAAAACAATAAATAGATTTAAAAATAAAAAAAATAGTATGTTACAGATACCAAATTTTAGCTGAATGTTTGTAGTTTTCTTTTTTTGCTTAACTTGTTACTAGTAATTTTAATTTTTTCCCTAGAAAAAACATTTAAGAGAGCATTTGTAGATAAACATTCTTTCTATTTTTTCTACACTGTGACCATCTTCACAAGTATCAACATTAAAAAAAAGCTCATAATCTGCCAAAACATTCAATGCTACGTGCATTGCTAATTTCCTTTGATTTAATAAATGAAGAAAAGAATATTTTTTATCAGCTTACCAATGACTACATAATTATATAGAACAAAATTTGTATTAGGATATAAAAGAGAACCTCTATTAATCCCCTGAAAATAGAGGTTTATTTCAGGTATTTCTTCCACATATTAAATTTTTGTAACTCTTAATTTTCTTAAAAACTACTAACAACAATAACCTGCTAAGTATAGTATAGCAAGAAGAACTTCTCTGCATTTATTAATGTCATCCTCTTTAACATCGAATTTAAATTTGAACATATCTAACATTTGATCCCGTCACTTCATACCAAATTGGTTCTTGTAAATTCTTCAAATCAATTTCAATATATTGTTAAGTGGTAAGCTCAATTTTAAAACTGATAGCATTCTGTTTTTTTTTCGTTTTTTTAACACTGAAACACTTGCTGTATCAAGATATTATACTGATCGCCATTAAGTTGGCGGTACTAACCAAACCTTGCCTGAAGATGATCAGTTTGAAATTTGTCAGGTAATATGTATAGCATTTTCAATTCTTCTATATAATATTTGGTCAGTTCTAGAAATGTATATGTTGTATGATGCAGTGTGGGTTTCCTTTGTTAATTTGCCATTTCTTCCAGAAATGCTATTCCAAGATTCAGAATACAGAGAGAAATATAAAAATTTCTTCATTTACTCTAAGTGGCTTACAATATTTATTTCTAAGCCTTTATATGGTGTTTTTGCAGTCAGTATTGTCCACCAAGCATAAAATATGTTTAAATATTCTGCAACTTCAGCAAAATTAGGCAAATATCTGTTTTCCTAAGGTCAATAATCCCTGAATAGTGTACTCATTAAAAATTTGCAGAACTAAATTAACATTTTGTCTTTCAAAATTAGGAGAAAGTGTCTTTGAGGACAATTTATAACAATATTTCAAAATTGACAGATTCGTGGGCATGAAGTTTCTGTAAAGTACAAATTGAGGCACTTTGGATACTATCTACTTCATGATTTTCATTATGACAAAATTTTGGGAACAGCATGCGTGCATCTATTTGATGAAACCAATTGTTTCTAATGCATTTTAATATATGAACAGAGTCAAATACGAAGAAAAGAAGTCTAGACTTCATAATTGAAAGCTTTGGTGGACTACAAAAGAAAAGATATAGCTTTTTTATTTATATCATTATTATCTGTTACGTTTGATAAAACTTGAAAGCTTGTCTCCTCTAAATCAATTATTATACTTTTAACTATGTCAAATAAATTCTCAGCTTGAAGATATTTTGTTGTCATAACATACACAACATCCTTATATTGTGAGAATACACTGCTAAGTATAAAAGCAAAAACACTTGTTGCAGCTTCACTGCAGTTGTCAGATAAGCCAACAATATTAACACCCTTATAATCAATCGAAGGTTTTAGGTAAATTTCATCAACAAGTAATGATAATGTGATGTCTTTCTGTACTAGTAACTTAAATTTATTTTTAATATACATAAAAAATTGTTATGTCGCTCAATCAAAGGATTCATATATGTTGATAAGGTTAGTCTATTAATGATTGAATAGCGAAGTAAAATTATATTTTTGCTGTATCTTAAACTGTACACTTTAGGGGAGCAGTTATACAACAATGAAGAAAATACATTTCTTTTGAATAATTAAACTTATTCTGTGTCATTAAGTTTAGCTGCTCATTTATGAATTTGAATTAAAATATTTGTTTGGTTCTTACCAATTTTAATATAGAAATCACATTTTGAGGTTTGATTTGCTGTTGTTCTGTGTCCATTTTCTTCATATTTTTTATCAAAATTTCACGAGTATTTTGATCTGTTACATGTTTAGGAATCTTATAGTCTTCTATTGTATTCATTTCCACATCTCTACAAAACATGTATTGCAAAATCAGATTCAATTACAAGAGAGAAAGGTTTTTGGATATGGAGATTTGATGCTGCTGCATATAAGTGTCTTTTGCTGCCTAACAACACTCCAGTAATTTAATTTCCCTTCTAGATCATTAATATTATGGAATGTATTCTGCAGTTTGTATGCTAAATCATCAGTAATACTTTGATTTAAAGCACTTTTAAGCGCAGGATTCTCCAATCGAATTCTCTTGGAATCTTGTCATTGAAGAAAAATATGAGGGACAGTTTGGTAGAATTCTAGGGATAGCACCATCATGAAGATATGTTTTCTGAAGTTTAACTGCAATTGTGACTCCTGTTTTTTTCGTCAAAGGTTAAAGATTCTTTTTATGTCTTCAGGTCGAAAATGTAATTCACATATCTAAAAAGATTTTAAAAACCAAACCTATTTTAAATTCTTGTAAAAATCTAAGATAGTAAGCAAAATAACTGTTCTAACATTTTTAAGAACATAATTTATTAATTCAACAAATTATTAGTGACGAAGCTATTTTAAAATATTTTTACAATATGAAATACGAAAATATTAGTTACATTTTTAAAATGAATATAATGACGACGCTATATAAAAATAAAATGAATTTTTAACGTCTATACATTTTTTAAAATTAAAATAATAAAACATTGTTATAATTATTAGAATTATTTTTTATGTCAGTAAAAATATTCCTTTTTGAGTTTATATCGTAAATTTATTTAAAAGTTTTAGTAATATGAGGTTTTTTGTTTTTAAAACTTCGCTAGATCTGTTGTAACTTTGTCTTAATGTGTTGTGAATTGCAATTAAAATAATTTAAGTTTCAATTAAATTTACTTGCATTTTAATACAAAAAATGACTCATCTTGCTAAATTTATTAGGTTTAAAATCCATGCTTTTGATTGAACGCATCCAAATAATGTTCTTTTGGTCCATTTTTGTAATTTACTTTGCAATGAAGTACGACACATCTATAAAGCATTGCTTTTTTTTAAAAAAAAAAAAAATTGATTCAGTATTTAAAAGAAAGACAAATAGATAAATAATTTAAAACAAGTGTAAGTTCAACAGTATGTGACCTTAACCGTTCTTCTGAAAAGCAAGGAAGGACCCAAGATAGTGACGTCACATATTTTCCCCTTCCACAGAATTGGCCTTCTCTTTCGGTGGTCTCGATCCGGCCCGCAGGCCGTAGTTTGGTGACCCCTGGTGCAGACCAAGGTGGTGCTGGGCTTTGCGTTCGTAATGAAATTAGAAGGTAGAAGGAAAAAGAATGCAGGTCGAAACACTTCACGTTAAAATAAGTTAACATATTAGTCTGTGAGCGAGTTCAATTCTCAGCAGACCTTAAGCTTCGTGACGTACAGACAAATGTCAAGATCGGTCGACCTGCAGGGTTAGAAAGTTTGTATTTCACACTCGTGCCAGACGTCAATATTCGAGATCAGATAAAAGCTGCGATTTCTAGCGCTGATTTACAAGACAAACATGTACGCTTCTTGTGGAAGATTGGCGCAATATATTCTTTCTACTCTATTTTCCTTCCCCGCACTTCCCATTCAAATTTGTACCGAATTCATCTAAGCTTAGTAAACATCAAGATAAGAGGTCGGATAGAGCGATGATGTTGGAGACCGTCTTCATGTCGCGGCTTCTGATTAATAGGAAGTCAACATTAATACTGGCGAAAAAAGGAAACACGTTTTGGACAAACAAACCCAAAGAGCGAGAACGGACGCAGAGAAGGACAGGGTTCTGGTTATGTTAATAGCTTACTAAATGCTAATAACGCTACATCAGGCACTGGATAGAGAGATGATGTTGGGGACTGTCTTGTCGTGACTGGTTAATGGCAAACCAAAATTAAAACTGACAAGAGAAAGAAGAAGAGCGAGAGAAAAGACAGAAAAGGATAGGGACACAGTCACTCTGAGATAATGTTGTAATCCAAGCATTTTCTTACCGTTTGTCGCACTATCGGTTTAGGTTTTAAAAATAAAAGGTTCTTCTCTTGGTCGACACAAACAAAAAACGATATACGAGGTCTGATAAAAAATGATTGAGACTGCTGATCTAAAAAAAAAAAAAAAAAAAACTACAACACATCAATTCGGCATTTAATTTCCTTCGAAGTAGTCCCCTTCTGATGGCACACACTTTATCCAGCGTTGTTTCCATCGATCGAAGCATTCCTAGAAATGCTTTTTGGGGATAGCGAGAAGCTGCCTTGTCGCCTTCTCTTCGATTTCCTCGACGCCTTGAAATCATATTCCTTTCATGTGGGATTTGATTTTTGAAGAGGAAAAAAAGTCACGAAATCTGGAGAGTATCGTGGTTGTCGGGCCGGGGGGGAAATGTCGTACTTGGCCAAAACCTACTGCACAAGCCATGGTCTCTGATGGAAGCTCTGTGGTGTGGCGAGACGACCACTCTCTACACACTTTCCTGCTATAAACAACGGAAGTGAGCGTGAACGTTATAGTAGTGTGTATGCGCAACAGAGTTCAAGGTCAAACTGTGCCAAGCAGTTTCACTCTGCATACTTAGCTCCGTTACCATAGCAACAGTCCCGATACTTCTTAATCAGACTTCGTATACATTTTTTCTATCGGGTTTGCTTAGTTATTCCAGCTGTCGGTTTTACAACGTGTATTTTCGACCAGAACCCTTGTTCCGTCTGTAGACTTATCTCTGGGATCTTTTCTGTTAGTTCACCCCAAATAATGTAAAGTTATCACAAATATTAATTCACCTCAAGAAATTATAAATTTTAAATCAAAGATTTTTTTATTAAATTTTTGACACTCTTTTGAAATTATAAATTCTATATCAAAATTTGTTTAGCTTGCCTCGCCTCAACTCCAAATCTCAGAATGAAAAGTTACCAAAAATCAAGGAATTATTTACATTTCGTAAGTACGGATAATATTCGAAGTACTTAAAATTAAAAAAAATAATCTGTTTTTTGATTGTTTATCGAACGTAGACCCCATACTTAGAAATAGCACACTCGAGTCGCCCACATTTGGGCGTTCGCAAAAGTCAACCCAACCGGAGTGCAATGGGAGGGCCTCGCTATAAGATAACTTGGTGTGAATTTTAGTAAATATAAATTCTTTTATTTTGGGGCGAATTAACAGAAAAAAAAAAGAGTTGAAAGAAGCAGGGAGCGCGAATACAGGCGCCAAAAAGTGATCTGTTTAATGTCACCTGACGCAAAGCATATTGGAGTCATTTTCTCGGCCAGTGTGCAATTGAATATCTGTTAGTTGAGAAGGCGTATTTGAATAAACTAGAAATAAGAGAGGATACAGCTTAGTGGTTAGGAGTGAGGGCATTCATTTTTTTTTTACATTAGAAATGCACTGGAAATATGTTGTAGGAAATTGATTGATTGATTGATTGTTTTCTACGGCTTATCAATCCTATGCAGGTTATTTAAAGCAGTCACATCTAGGTACTGACCAGGCTCGACGTTGCTTAATTTCGGTGACTGGACAAGAATCAATATTTTTACATCATGCGACCGTAAGCCTGTTGCAGAAAAGCGTTGAGAAAAAGTCGATTTCGATTGCTAAGACTGTCGCTGGTATCCCAGGAACATGTAAGTTACAACGAAGGACCTCATTGAAGCATGAAGGCATACATGAACCACTCCAATTGTAGACATTTTTAGCAATTAGCTCGAAATCAAAACAAAAAGGCTTCTTCAACAGCCGACTGAACACGAATACACCACAACGATTTACCAGCCAGCTTGCGTGTCTCAGGAATGGACCCGAGACACCCGCTTCATCGCCATCGTTTATTCATCGTCTTCTTACCTCGACTGAATACAAAATATTCGACATGTCCTAACTATACAGAAAAACAAGTCAATAATCTAAATATTTATAACTTCTTCTTTTCATAATTGCTAATGTACTGAATAAAGAAATAACCACCATAAAATAAGTTTTGGCTTATCCTACCTGAAGATAATGCCTCCAAGTTTATAAAAGGTTTTCTCGAATAACTTGTTCGCTGATAGATACTGGTAGGGTTTCCACTAAGCAACATAAAAAAATCCTTTCATCCAATCGCTGTCTAAATATATAAGGAAGAAACCAAGTAATGCTCGTTTGTTATATGACTAGTCACCCGAGAGACGTGTGGACTTTGCCACCATTGTTTGAGTATGGTGAATAAATTCAGCGTCTCGTGTTCGACCTCTGTCCGAGTGTTAATTAATTTTATTAATGTTCTAAAACAGTAGACCAAACAATACCAATTAACTGACTCCTATAATACGAATTTCAAAACATATAGGGTTGATATTGATACAGGAGCGACTAAGATAACTATATAGACACAGATCCTTCTCGGTCTTGAAGTCTCTTAAAATATTTCCTCATTTCACTTTATATATATAACTCAGCAACATGGATAATCCTTTAAGCTAGTATAGACTGCGGCCCAGAGCGTCTCAAAATTTTATCAAACAATGGTTTTTATTTTCTAAATGTTATAATTTCTAAATATTTTCATGAATTGAAATGATATCAATATGACAAACTCATATTTATTTTGGTTGTTTTATTGTTATAATGCTGGTTATATCTTTTTTTTTTTTACTACGGTTGTGTTGAAATATGCGCTAATTTGGTTAGCAATAAATAGTAAAATAGTAGTATTTTTCAAATAATATTTTATTAATAAACAAAAATAGCTATTCTTGTTTATTTAACGACTTTGCAATAAGTTAAAGCTTCGCAAATGTCGCTAAAATATACCAAGAGTAAAAAAAGAGATTCAAGGCGGGTGAGGGAGAGTTAGAGAGTGACCCCATAATTTCATTAGCCTAGGGGCCCCAAAAAGTAATAATACGACCCTTCTGGTACATAATCTCTCCAAGAAATTCAAAAATAATTCTAACAAGCACAATACATATCCCGCCAAGAGTTTTGTCCACTTTTTTAATAATGGCTGTCTTGTTTAATTAAGAGGTAACAGCAAAAATGTCATCCTTCACTGGCCCTAAATCATTGGTTATAACCCGCCATGTGATTATAAAACAAAAGCAACATAGATTTAATAAGAATAAGAATGATAATGAACCAAAAAGGACAGAGGGTACAATGTCCGAGTAAAATGGCATTTGTGAAAATCAGTTGGGTGTTTAAAGTTCGATCTGTAAGTGAAAAAATCTATGGAAAAAATTGTGACCATAGCAACTCTGTTATTAAATAACATTTTAGTTAATTTGAAAATTAAACAGTTAAAAAAATTAAAAAATAAATATCTGGGAACAAATCAGCGAGATTTGTATATAGGAAAAAGTTAAAATAAAATGTAAATATGGTAATTTGATATAGAAGAACAAAAGAAAACTATGGCGAGAAAAATAAAATGCGGATATCTCATAAATAAATAGGTCTTTTGAACAGGCGCAGGGGTTTAGCCTTTGTCTTCTGTTTAGGATTGGGAACTCGGTTCCTTCTAAAGTCTAATGCAACTCCATATTTCTAACATATCCGACTAAAACTCCGAAATGTTATTCACTATTTTTTACTCTTTTTTTTTTTCTTTCTTTCCGTAATAGGAAACTGGTTCACACACGTTCCTCGTCTTTTGAACAGGAATTGAGGTTTATCCCTTATTTCCTGTTTAGAATTTGGTTTCCGGTTTCCTTCTTTTTCACTTCCAGTGGCTCCATGTATCTTGGTGACATTATCACTTTGCTTGGGATGGTGCTTCTTACTCCGTAACCGTCTACCTCGAGTGACTCTGGGGCATTGTACAGGATGAACATCATTGTAAAAAGATAAAATAGTGAATACTTATTTAAATTTAGATGGTAAAAAAATATAGGATTTAATTAGATTTTGTAATTTTTATTAAGACGTTTAACCGGTATCTATTTTAATATTGCTTTCTTTAAATATTATCTTGGCCAGAAAAGTTGATATGTTATAAAAGGTTACGTTTTAATTAATCTGATTGACTCATGCTATCATAGCTGGCTCGATATTTTTTTCTAGATTTATGATAAATAATTTTAATCATTTGGATGTTTTAAAAAATATCGAAAGGAAATTGCCATTTTTCAGTCAATATGACAACATCCAAACACGCATATATATTCATGAAGGTTTGGATCAGGGCTTTCTCTGTTTTTAACTAATATTAGAAAAATTAATTTCAAAAATATTTTTATTTTAGCAATGATCATTTCAAACGATAAAAGAGATACATAATTGTGGATCAATAAGTATGTAGTTATTTGCTGAATTTATATATAAAACTTTCACTGTATAATGTTGGATATATTTAATTAATATCTACCTCCAAATTAAGCGCACTGGCAAAAAAAGATGATGTTGAAAATATTTGTTGTGTTAAATGTTCTTTTTACATCAATAGGCTACAGACTGATATTTGTAAATTTGTTTTTGCTCTTTACAATTATGTAGTGCAACTTAGAAATCTCAAAATAAAGTAAGACTTCTAATATTTGCCATGTCTCTTCTAACTGAAAAAAATATATAAATAAGTAAAGAAATAACGAATTAAGATTGATAAATATTGTATTTTTTTATTCAAGAGAATGATATTGTATATTCATAAATGGCTCAGTAATATATACTAACTCCTTCCTCACAACAAACATGGTTTTTCATTTGAGGAGTTAGGAATATGGATAAAGTATCGATTTTGGTAATTCTCCGCCTCGACGTTATATATATTATTCTTTGATTTAAATTTCATTATGGTTGTCAATTTTAAAGTACACACGCGCTTACAGTTTCATGCACACAACATTTATATATATATATATATATATATATATATATATGGAGAGAGAGAGAGAGAGAGAAAGGGATTTAGTGTATTAATAAATTGGTGTTTTGAGTGTATTGAAAAACTCATTGATTCATTCTACCCAGAGAAAAAATTCGTTTGCGCATCGTGCAGTGCGTTACGTCATTATAACACCCAGACGCTATACTGTCGAAATTTACAAAATCTATTAACAACTACAGGTTTTGTCCCTAACCATAAAGGTCTTGGATCTCGATAATGGTTACGGGACAAAAAATCATTACCACAACGTCAAAATATCATCAGGCTTTGTTGGTTTTTCGTTACAGTGTGGGAATGACGGATTCGAGAAGATGAAGCCTTTGTACTTTGTTGAAGCCTCTTTGAAGTATATTACTATTATTTAACCAGATGTGCAACTGTCGAGTGGCCATAAAGCCTGGACACACACACACACTGGTAGTCTTTCAGCATCGACAGATAGTCTTCCAATTGTGGAGGCGTTGTTTGCAGTATAGTGTCAATGCTTGTGACACTAGTTGTCTTGACAACTTCGGCTCCGTAAAAGAAGGGAGATCGCAGGACGACTTTGTAGATTCTAAATTACGTTCTTTTTTCAAATTCTTATTCTTCGAAAAACGTTTGTGCAGTTCAGAAAAGCTTTGTTTGCATTCCTCATATCTTCTATCCCTCTTTTTATTCAACACGGTATCAGAAGATACGAAACAATATTAAGTTTAGCGAACTGGTCTCTGATTGGTGGAACAGAGTGGTTTCATGGAACGCATAATTAGAATCTGGAATGGAGTCAACTAAGAGTCAGTTGACTTCAGAGATTGTGAACAGGCAGACATGATTACATAAAATATTTCAGGTAACCTCCCTATCTAACCTGCAGAGATAAAACTGAAGCCTCGTGAAAAATGCCTGTCTCTTGCGAATCTTGACAGCCAACAGCAGGCCTGCAATAGATGTGGAATCCTCTTCTCCGAAATCTTTTCCAAGTAGAGTATATATATATATATATATATATATATATATATATATATATATATATATATATATAGATAGATAGATAGATAAACATTTTTGTAAGACAAAAATCACTCCTGAAAAAGAATACCATGATGACACACAGACCAATGCTCCATGTCTAATGGTAGAGTCCAAATATTATTTTCGACATGGTTATGTGAGAATGACGGGCTCCGAGTGAAGTTTTATATGCTTTGAACGAGTTATAAAACTAACTAACTATATATATATATATATATATATATATATATATATTGGACTATTCTGGGGATGTAGTCACCAATCGCTATGTAGTAAAATTTGTGGTAGAAATATAATTTTACGTTATGTAAAACTTGATAAATAATACTCCATAATTATTTAATGTTTACTAGAATGTTTAGTTTCATATTAGGAAGTTTTCAAAATAATGAAGAAAATACAAAGCAAGATAAAGATTTTCATATCTTATAAGGACAATGCAAATTAAAAAATGTTTAGTGTCTTAATTTTTTTGACGGTACTTGTATTCTATCTATCGATAATGGCATACTGTAGATTTTTATGATGGTCATACTTTAATATAAGTCGAGTCAAAAAAATGTAATGAGTTAACTACACATTTTAGGCCTGTTATCTCTGTTCCATAAAAGTTTAGTGTATGCAGTAAGTATTCAAATGTCACAAATATTATGGAATAGTATATTTTTTAAATTTGCTCCCAAAATAAATGCTTAGTCATAAACAGCCACTCATCCAGGGCCTGAGTTGTATGCCACCAAATTCACTCTCTCATTCCATTTTATATATAAAGAAATATAGTTTTAAGGTGTGATATATTTATTAAGTGCTCAATATCAGAGATAGAGCCTATGTAAATATAAAAGTGAACATTGAAGTCAACACTCAGAGGCGACAGGCTGTTTCATGCTAGACGCAACCGTCAGGCCTGGCAATTGACTCTAGCATGAAACAGCCTGTCGCCTCTGAGTGTTGACTTCAATGTTCACTTTTATATTTGCATACATACATATGTGTGTGTGTGTGATACGTGTATAATTATTATATATAATTCTCTCTTTCATTCTCTATCTCCCAGTTAATATTGGGAACAACAATAGCGTGGCGGCGGTGGTAATATTCCAACAAGTGAAAAAAAAAGCGGTGATGTCAGCGGTGGGATGAAAGGTGGCAGTCAATGGTCAAATATCGCCGGTGGTAGCTGTAGTAGTGATATTGGTACATTTGGAGGTGGTACTGCATTACGGGTAACATCACTCACTTATACAGTGTACTCGAGATATGTTATAAATTGTGACTGCCCTATGGTCTTTACATTGACGTGCACCTTACCACCGTTGGCCATGTCTGGCTTGCTAAAATCGACCAAACCCTGGAACACATGCTCTTCCACGTTTTCCAGTTCAGTCCATTCGTTTCCAGCCCTTACCATCACCTGAAAAAAAAAAAAAAAAAAAAAATGAAGTCTTCAATTTATTTTGGAAGGAGAAAAAAAAAATTAATTTTAAAAAAATTAACAAGAATCAAATACTTAGTACTTTTAAAAAAAAATTTTGTCTGAATTTCAGTAATGATCAGATATCATTATTTAAATTCGGACTAATGTCTTCATCTTTGTTGTTATTATCACAATTTTGTTCGTTCTGCCTTCCTATCTTCACCAAGGGGGTTGTCAATCCGGGTAATCTTCGAGAGAAGTTTTAAGTGAACTCTTTATTTAATCTGTGCGGGCAGATGGTTTTCGTTCCGCTGACCATGTCTATGGATATCTCGTTTAGTTCTTATTTTAATACTGTTCAGTTATTGCTCACCCCGTTTCCACGTGACATAGCCTAGCAGATTAAAGCGTTAGTTAGTGAATTTGGAGACAGTAATTGTGTATTCACTCACTGGGTCGAGTAGTGTAGTGGTAAACTCAGTGAAAACAAGGTGAAGAATAACGGAGAAAGACTGAAATATCCACTAAATGATACAGACATAGGCAGCAGAAGAATAATCTATCTCCATAGATTAAATAAAGGGTTCAGTTCGAAATTCCTTGAAGTTTACCGGGTTCAACAAACATCTGATGAAAGCCAGAGGGCATAGTGACCGAAATGTTGCGATCATAACAACAAAGATAACGACAATAGCAGAGTGAAAAATAAAGTTAATAACATTTTTCATCTAGTTGATCAACTAATACTGTTATTAGTACGTAATACAATAGATTTGCAAGTTTGATTGACTGCTTTGATTTTTTACGCTTTACCGACCCTTCGTAGGTTATTTAAAGCGGAAACATTTTGCATTGTAAAAATAATTCTTTTTTTTATTTGCAAGTGAATATTGTATTAACAATTTTTTAGACTAACTATGATATTTCCACATAAAAGACCCTATTATTTAACGCATAACTAGGGTGGTAGGTGGATCCATACCTTTCCCAATGTGATTTGCACGTAAATAAATGTAGCAAACCTGAATGGGGTTGGATCTCCTTTACTTCTAATTCAAAGTCTCTATCCATTACACCATCTGCAGCTCCACGAAATTTCTGGAACACATAATGAGGAAGAGGATTTTGGAGAATTTGACTCTCACAGGACATATTTTGTAGTTACTCAACCCCCACGAGGTCAGGTTGTGACACAAGGTCGGTTTAATGTGGGGAGCCCGAGAGCACACACACCGGGCTAGGAACTAAAACTGCCCGCACCTCCGTAACCGCTGGCCTAGGTGTGATCCCTCTCTCTGGTGTAATGAGAGGGCGCGGCCTCGGGCAGCTGTTCCCCAGGGCTGGGCAACTCTCAGTATAATTTTTCTGAGTTGCGACTGTCCTTTGACAACTGAGAGATGATAAAGAGATGTGTTACAAATTACTTTATTGTAATATACACAGTCTCACAGGACATATTAAAGCAAAAGTGACAGAAGAAAACAACGAATAACTTACCTAATAAGCGGGTGTAAATAGACAGGAGTGGTTAGTGGAGGGTTAGTAAAAAGACAAAACATTATTAAGAACTACAAATAGTAGGAAGTCGTGAGGAGCTATTGTTGTCAATGTCCTGAAGGGACACGGCAGACAGAAGATGAAGACGTTTGTGACTCTTTATATTGTAAAAATATAAAGCGTGGGTGTTTGATGGTTATGCAAATTGCAGAGTTGCAGTAGATTTCGAACGTCTTTTCGCCTTTGCGCGTGATTTTTTTCCAGATACAAGACCTACTATTTAACCCACAGCGGGAGGCGGTGCGGGCGGTAAATGTATTCATACCTTTTCAGATGGCATTTGCGCTCGCTATGACATATTATTTATTTGACTAATTCAGGAAAATAAACTTTTCTCTTGAAGAAAATAAACTAAAAAACATGAAGATCTGATAAAAAAAATACAGGAGATGTGGTTGGATAACGCTTATATTTCTTGTGAGATGTCAAGTTTTTATCGCATTTACTGTAAAAGACAGGTGCAGATGTCAAGGTTTTATCGTTTTTATTGTAAAAAACAGGTGTCGTTTTCCCCCATGAATCAAGTTTCCATAATAATTGTTGGATTGATTTGTCTTTTATGGCTTATCAACCTTTTGCATATTATTTAAAGCTAGAATTTTTTTTAGCTTCTAAGACATTTTTGAAGATATTAATGATTTACTGATACGTCCTACTCATAAACCCATAGCTGAAAAGAAGTGCATTCTTTCCTTTTTCTGGGTTATTTGCGCGTAAGTGAATGTAACGGACTCGACTGGAATTCAAACTCAGTCCTCCGATTTCTAATTCCGCGTCTGTCACAAAGCCCGTATACCCAAGTTTACAACACCTGGTACTCCCAAGTGGTCACTCATCTAAGTACTGATCAGGTTCGACGTTGCTTGACTTTGTTGATCGTATGAGAACCGGTGTTTTCAGCGTGATACGGCCGTAATTGTTGGAGTAGGTAGTTAGACTTAAGTATACGAAATAAACAAGAGGCTGAAATGCTCATCAACAAAGACTTGGAGACGGCGTCAGATGAAACGGTGGATGGATGTTTATTGTTGCTGTTCTTGTATCTGCATTTTACTTTTAATTGATACACATGCACACGAATAGCGTTTTTCGTTTTCCAGCTAGTAAGCTTATGCTAGCTTTCCAGCTTCTTTTTCTCCCCCCGCCCCCACCAAATCCATGCTTTTTTTGGAGCAGTTACTTATAGTTTTCACGGCGTTTCGCTTCGTTCAACGCTCAAGAACGACCTTGTCTGTGCAGCACACGTGCCATCCAGCCCGAAAGCACGTGTTTTCACCTTTTCCATGCGTTATAAATTTTGCAAAACGATGCCTATCTTTAATGTAAAAAAAATCCACCGACTAACCAATGATTATCCCCAGGTTGCGTCTCGATTCTCGTTCATGTCGCTGTGCACCGAAACCTGGTAGTGGCTTGGTGTGTTCACAAAGTAACAAAAATGAAAACATACGTGATGTTGAGAAATGATAACATGAACACAGTTTTCACAATTATAAATTAGGTGTTTTTATTCAGCTCTGTGGAGGTAGGTAAATGACACCTGGGGATAATTTCTGTCATATCAGTCTCTAAAAGCTTAGCTCTTTCCACTGACAAAACTCACCGACAGGTTCCGCATCCCGACGTGTGGGTGGTAGTACGAACAGGCGGCATCGAAACTACGCGACGAACAGTCTACCTATCGCTAAAGGCGAACCAGAATTGGATTCATCCAATGTTAATCTAGAACAGTGGTCCCCAAACTTTTTTTCTCTGTGTCGCATTTTCGGAATTAAAATTTGCTCGCGCCTCACCAAATTTTATGTGATAAAAAATCATTTAAAAAAACAAAAAACAAAACAAAACAAAAAAAATCAGACATGGTTAAAGGGAGATAACCGCGGATTCGAAGCCAGAACATTATTATTGATAACTCTCCTCCAATTTGCGGATCCTAGTTACTATATTCTTAATACTTGATATAATGCAAAAATATCACAATGATAAAAACTGTCGATAATTATTTATAACTATTTATACTGGGACTCATGCATACAATTAGAAGTAATCCATAGTAATATTTTAAATTTTGAAATCATATTTATTTTTGGCATATGAATTTATTGAAACTGTTCCTAAATCTTTGATTGTCTTTCAATCATTCCGCCTCACCTGTTATCCTCCTCCGCCGCATCTATGAGGCGCGCCGCATCTTTTGGGAACTACTGATCTCGACCATCAACAGAAAATAATCAGTATTCGGTTTGTTGTCACTTGACCTAAATGCTTTCTTTCATTTATTGGCTTCTTTTCTTCCTTTTCGATCAAGTGGGTGCTATTTATAAAACTCAACTTCCAAAAACACATCCACTGAACATAGAAAAGAAACACTCGAGATTGAGATAAACTCACGCCTAACGTAAACAAAGCAATTTGCAAAGAAAGAGGATGGATTTTTATTTATTAATCCGTCAGATTTTTATTACTTAAACGTTATTTTAATGTTTACTCGTATTTGAATAGACGTTCCGTTTGTTTATTAAACAGTAGATTTATTTTCGTCTACCGGCCTGAATATCCGAGAAAAAATATACGCTCTCCAGTAGGATTCGAACCTGCGTTCCCCTAGGGGAAACTGTCATGGATCTGACATGCTTTGAACTCTCAGCTACAGAGTATGTCGATGACCAAGCAAAGTAAATATAGTCTTTCTTTTTTTTTTTTTTTTTTGTGTTTTTGTGTGTGTGTGTGTGTGTGTGTGTGTGTGTGTGTGTGTGTGTCAAGGGAGATACAGAGAAAGACATAGGGAGACAGACTTGCTGGTCTGATATCAAGAGATACTGAGTAAAAATCTGGATTGCAAGTAGAGGTCAAAAGGCATCGAAATTACGATGCAGTGAAAAATAGAGCAAAAACAAAAGATGAAAGAGATGATGCAGTAGAAAATTTGCGCCTTCCTTATTTATTTTTTGCATAGGAAAATAATCCACGTTTGCATAACATATAGCTCAATAGATGAACGGTTCAACCATGACTGGAAGAGATGAGGGGAAGAGTATGAAGATACAACTAAAGAATAATGGGAGAGCAAAGGCATGAGATTATAATCTTAGTTGTGTCGAGTTATTCGCGTATCCCATTGGCTGACGCAAATTGTCTTCTTAGCATCCTGTTACAGAGATTAAGGCTTGTGTTTTTTTTTCAGTACGAAATGAAAGCCACAATTAGCAATCGCAATTCCAATATTTAATTTTGCTGTATTTTTCTACTCCACCTCCCCATTTGGTATTCGTTCCTATTACTCCAACAAGAGTAAGTATTTATTTGTACACACACGTTGTAAGAAATGTAACACAAGGTTGAGTTTAAAAGGTAGGGTTTCGGAAACCCTTCAAAAATTGCTCAAGCGCCCTAGGCACTTCCTCTTTTGGGGACGCATCAGGCGCCGGGTAATGACACCGACCCCCCCCGCGCGAAGAAGAGGTACTTCCCGGGGGAGGGGGATGAACCCCTGAGGCTCGAGCTAATATTAATTTGAAAACTTCTCAGTCCGGTTGGCCCAGATATCTATGTATATAGTCGTGTCTATCTGGTAATGATGGTGATGAATGGCAGACAAAGAATTTGATAAAACGATCATATTTCGGATTTGCATCTTTTTATCATACACCGGCATTCCTTTAGTATGTTCACGTATTTCTTTTGAATACTCCTACGTATTTGGTGAACAGCATCAGATTTTATTACGGCTTAATTAACCCGGGCAAGATGGTCGTTCACAACAATCGCGTTCATCTGTCAGTCTATATCACTCTATATAAGAGAGTACACAAGGCTTCGACAACTGACTGTTTGAATTCAAACATTCTGTGTGGCATCTCAGATATATATAATAAAAATATAGCTTTAAGCTATGCCTTATTTATGGCTAAAAGTGCTCAATATCAGGGATCGAGCGTATGTAGATATAAAAGTGGACACTGAGGTAAACAATAAGCGAAGACTGTGTTCAAGCATGAAATAGACTGTCGCCACTCGTGGTTAACCTCAGAGTTCATATATATATATATATATATATATATATATATATATATATATATATATATATATATATATTCAGATAGCGGTGCTGAAATGTTCTCGACCTAGTCAAACAAGAAAACAAAATCTGACGGCATATAAGACGTACTTTAAAAATATCTAAAATAAAAGCACCCTGCATCAATAAGAAGGTCGTCGAGCCCCTAGAAAAGAACAACCTCTTCAGCGATGGATTTTAGGCGGCTCGATCCACTACCGATGTGTTAACTAATATCACTCACAGAATCAATGAGGCTCTTGACGACAAATACACCTCAAGCACCATAGCACTAGATATCTCAAAGGCCTTCGACAAAGTGTGGCGTAATTGTTTACTGCACAAACTCTCCAGTTATGGATCATAAAATCCTTCCTAACAAGTAGGCCCCTGAAGTTAGTTATTAATGGCCAGTCCACCGGTCACATAGCGGGGTCAGCTCAGGCGTCCCAAAGGGGTAACTCCTTGGACCAATCCCCTTTTTGATCTATATATAAATGATCTAAGAATATACTCAGATCATTTGTAAACATTTATGCCGACGATACGATTATATACGGGCGCACCTCTAAAACACTCGATGACCAGGGATTGGCGACTGATCTCTATTCCGATATTTTACAAACTACCCAATAGGGTAAAAACTGGCTGGTTACATTCAATGCCTCGAAGATCAAGCTAGTTACGTCTCATTGCCAAACTGACTTCGAACTACCACCAATCAAGATGAATGGAGGTCCTCTTGGTGAAGCACAGTGCCTTGAAAGACTGTTGGGCCTCAAACTCACACCCAACCTCAAATGGAAGTCCTACATACGATCCATTGCTAAGGATGCCGGTAAAATGGTCGGCGCCCTGTACCGTTCCAGTAAGTACCTGACTCCGCCCGCTACCCTCTACTGTTATCTAAAAGAGCCAAATCAAGCCGTAAATGGAGTACTGTTGTCATATTTGGACTGGACCTGCCAAGACCTAACTTTCCAAGCTTGTGGGTGGCGAATTATTCTCCACCCTTCAACCCCTCTCCCACAGGCGGGATGTGGTAAGCCTCCCGCTGCTCTACCGCTATTTCTATGGAAAGTGATCGGACGAACTAGATTCCCTAGTCCCGCCAAAGCAAACCTTCATGGCAAGAAGATGCCACGGTGGTTTGCTACTATGTAAATACATAGTAGCAAACCACCCACATTCCCACCATATTCCATCGGTGAGAAGTAAGTTCTACTCGAGCAGCTTCTTGCGAATCACTGCCCCGTGGAATCGACTCCAAACAGTATGTTTTCCCGATCACTACAATCTTAACCTATTCAACACTAGGGCTAATTGTTATCTCCCTCACCTATACACATAAATGGCCCCCTAACGTAACTCTCTATCTTGAGCGGCCTCCGGGCCTTGTAAAGAGTGACCCCCACGGATAAAAAAAATAAAAACAAAAACAAAAAACTTATATGCGAAGTTAAGACTAATTATGACTAACTATAGACTAAAGTTAAAACTAATTATTGATGAAGACTAATTATCTCTCACACTCACTACTGTTTGCTATAATTTTACCCCAGACGATCACTTTTACCTAGCCAGACTTCATAATAATATCATTTACTGAAACGACATCGACATTATTTATATTTTTAAAAGGAGTATCGGTACCTCATCAGCTCTAGGCTCTCACATTGCGTCCAACTCGTTAAATTTCTGAAAGAGCTACTATATAAAACCATTTTCTCACATCAATGATTACAAATTACTTCAAGCGGATGAATCCTTTTGGTCTTAAAGAAGACAATCCTTCATCAGATATTATAGACTGACACTACAGTGTTACCGAATAAAAAGCATATCACTTGAAAACTTC